CCCCAAAACCCCAAAACCCCACATGAATGAATTCGCTTACTAGAATTGAAATTTGAAAATATAATAACTTATTAATAATTTGGAGAGTTATCAATGTCTTAGATTTTCTAGAAGTAAAATTCAAATCACAATATAGATAGGTATTATTTTTGAGTTATATATTTACATGAAGATTATAATTAGGAAAGATATTGAAGTTGATATGCATGAAGTTGAGGATAGGATAATTACTTTGCATGAAGCGATGAGAGAATTAATCGACACCAATGATCAACTATTTCAATACAAAATCGTAAGAATTCATAATTAATTATGCTATTATAAAGAACTTGACAGCTTTCATGCAAATTAGAGCATAGTTGTTGAAATTAATTCAGGATTACAAGAAATCTGCTTCAAATAATAATTTTTTGCTGGAGGTAACAGCTTTAATTCTTGATAATAATAGAGACTTACTGAAAAAGAGCTAGAAATAACTCAGATTCAGGATGAAATTTTAAAAGATTGCGAGTTAAAAGATTAATAAGATGACCAAAATATTGTGGCATATTATTATAAGTAGATGGATGAGAGTGATTAGAAAAATGGAATTAGAAGTAAAAAGAAGCTGTAAAATGATATCTTTATGATTGAGTCTGAAAATTAGTAGCCAAACATCAATATGCTATAATCTAAGTAGTTATTTGACTTAAAATTAATGTTTGTAGTGAATCTATCAGTAAAAAAATTTTTGATGCAAAGAGAATGGAGAATGAAATAAAGACGCTCTAGAATATGGCTTTATCAATAGCCTAGCAATCTAGACATGGCAGTCGGAAGGTTAGTGAAGTTAATGTCATGGCCAAAAAAACTTCAATAGATTTAGCTTAGTCACAAGATATCAGTGTGAAAAATTCAGAGTTGAAGATATCCAACAAAGCATTAGATTAAGATTATTCCAATAATCTTCTTAAAGAAAGCATCCAGTCATAGTCCCCATATTACGAAAACTATAGGACTAAGTCCATGCGAATGGAGGATAGCAAACAAGAAAATATGATTGATAGTATAACTTATTAAAAAGGAAGTGCGTTAAGAATAGTTGATTTGGAATCCAAGCAATATGAAGAAAAGAGGAAGTAGAAATAATAAAGCAAAAAGAAAAATATAGATAGGAGCAACTTGGAAAAGTATGGTTAAGTTGGGAAGGACAATAAAGGTTGCAATAATTGCTAATTATTTTGATTATATAATAAATTAATGGCTTTAAATTATAATTATAATTGAAAATAAGGTCATATAAACTCTAAGCAGTTTGATAATCCAGAGAATGCTTTCTAAATTACTGATCTATAAGTATCCTTACTCTTTGAAGATGAATCTGAAATTCTTAAATCGAGAAAGAACAATTGCAAACTTTTAAATGCCATTCGCTAATTATTCTTAGAAGACAAAAGAATCTAAAGTATTCAGAAAAGAAGGCAAAGAATTTCAACCTATCGATTATATCTTTCAAGCGACAGTTGATTAAAAGGAGTTTGAAAAGCCTAAAAAGAATTATGATGAGTCAATAAAATCAAAACAACGACACTTTTTTAAGACTGAGCATCATAAATATGATTACGATGAAAACACGGCTAGAGTTTACAATAAAGAAGAGACGATTAGATCCAAAGGAATAAATGAAAAAGAATATTTACTTGAATTAATGTTTAGGAGAGACTTTGCTAAATATATGCTGGAAACTTATTAGATTCTACCCTAGCTCATTGATAAGAAAAAGGTTAAAAAGGTAATTGATATTTACAGTAAACTATCACATAATTATAGTTTATAGCAGAGATCTAAATGAATAAGAAATATCAGAATCATATTGATAATTGGAATTAGCAATCGAAAGATTAAAAGGTAATTAAGTTAGCCACGAATATTTTTAGAAAGAAAAACTTATCAAAGATGGAGAATTTCAATCTGAATTTCAAAGGAAAAACTTGATAAGAGCAAAACCTTACATTGAGTTATATACAGATTTTATACTTAGGTATTTCAAATTAGAATACGAGGCTTCTCAACAACTTCATTTGCTTACTGATCTTACAATGCCACATGAATGGTTTCCAGAAGCAAGGCAGATGAAAAGAAAATTCATATATCATATGGGACCAACTAACAGTGGGAAAACAAGGGGAGCAATTTAAAGATTGATGGAGTCAAGGAACGGAATATATTGTGCACCGCTCAGACTTTTGGCTTGGGAGATTTCTGAAAAACTTAGCAATAATGGAATTGCATGTAGTTTACTCACAGGATAGGAAAGATAAATGGCTCCAGATTCAACACACTTATCTTGCACAATAGAAATGACTGATTTACAAAATGAATACGATGTAGCTGTGATAGATGAGATATAATTGATTGAAGATCCTGATAGAGGAAGTGCGTGGACAAACTGTATTTTAGGCTTGAAGGCCAAAGAAATCCATATTTGTGGAGAGGAGAGAGCGCTTAAGTTGATTCATGATCTGGTTTAAGATACCGAAGATGACGTAAGAATTAAGTATATTAAATATACATTTATAGCTGGAAGTTAAATAGTATACAAGACTTAGCACATTAAATGTTGAGCATTAATCAGTTAAATCGTTTAATGATTTCAAACCAGGGGATTGTATTGTTGCTTTTGGAAGAAGGAGTCTTTTTCAAATAAAAAATTCGATCAATAGTTATTACAAGAACAAAAATGGAATAGATACCAATTACTGCGCAATTATTTATGGTGCACTTCCGCCTGAGACTAAGAAAACTCAAGCATTCATGTTTAATAATAGAGCTAGTGACATCAAATATCTATTAGCTACTGATGCAGTATTTATTTCTTTCTCATGTTTATAATCATAGGTAGGAATGGGACTCAATTTAAATATATCAAGAGTGATTTTTACAACACTTGAAAAATCTGTAAAAGGATAAAAAACACAAATTACCAATAATTAGCTCAAGTAAATAGCAGGACGTGCTGGAAGATACATTGATGACGGCTTTGTTACGGCTTTCAAGCAAAAAGATTTGTAAAGAATTAGATAAGTCATTGGCTCATAAGAGAAAGCCAAAAAGCGTACCACTCAAGAGCAAAATGAAGATAGTTATGAGTTTGACGAGTACAGTTTGAGAGAGAGCACAGAAGTAATAGATAACATATTGAATTTAGATGATACTGACGAATCTGACTAAGAAATAAACCTTAAAATTTCAAGAAGTGTAATTCAAGAAGATAAAGTAGAAGGAAGATAAAGTTTAAATGAAGTTATCATCGAAAATGTAACATCTTACTCTGAATAGTCAGAGTAAGAGAAAGTTAAAAAAATGGTTTTTACACCGAACTAGAAGGATATTTAAAAAGCATGTCTGTTTCCAAACTTTAATATGATCTAGTAGTTTGCTAGTGATTTGGAGCTCTAGGAGCAAAAGAGAATTCATCTATCTGAAGTTATTTAGAAATTTGAGTCGTTGGCATAGCTTGGGAAGAAATATTTTGCTAAGGATACTCGAGATATTTGTTAGTTATCAGATGCTCTTGAAGGTATTCCTGGATTAGAAATAAAAGACCATTTCAACTTTTCATTATCACCTTTGAAAACTTCAATCAAGACTAAAGACAAAATTAAATTAATCACTCTAAGGAATATGGCAATTGATTATGTAGATTATGGCACTGTGCGCCTTCCTGATAATTTTACATTAAGCAATGAATTATTTCAAAGAGAACAATATAATGAAAATGATCTTGAAGTATTCGAAAGAATTCATAACAGTAAGTTTTTAATAATTCTAACTATTTTCGTTATAGTTCTTGAAGTATATCTGTGGCTAAGCAATAAATACCCCTAAGCTTTTGTTGAAACAGATCTTTGCAATATCTTAGTTGAAAAGGTTTGCAAAATTATTGATCAGATACTTTTAAGCAAGCACCAGAACAGTCTTTTTTCTAACTTAAATGATGGATTAAATTGAATTAAATTAACTTTAAATTAGCATTCTAGTTTTCACTCTAATTTAGAGAATTTAAATTCAAATTAGACATAGTGGGGTTTTGGGGTTTTGGGGTTTTGGGG